TACTGTGGCAGGAACCACCATCCAGCCCACAGGTATCCCTGGGCAGCCCTGTCTCTTCCTGTTACCAGGATCCTGACTTCTGCCCACTAACAGGCCATTGGAGGTTCCCATTGGCTAGGACAACCCTAGTTAATATTATTGCTTTGAATGATTAAGTATTGGCATACATTTAGATATAACTGAGGATACTTAGTTACTTCTTAACAATTTTCAGTTTGAAAGAACTTCAGTTTCAAGAACTACACAAAGTATCCTTTAGTTATTCCCCAAATGGTAACATTTTGCCACCTTGGCTCTGTGTTCCCTTTTCTGTCTCTCTGGTTTATTAACAGGCTTTAAAAGAGTGCTTTAGATTTATAGAAAATTTGAGCAGATAGTACATAGCGTTCAGAAATACCCTGTGTCACTCAGCGTTTACTAGAGAAACAGATGTATCGTATTGTAAGAAATTACAAGCTTGGGTTATGATAGTGAGCCGGAGTTGGATGAGGAAGTGTGCAGAGTGTGTCTGCACACTAGAGGCTGAAAGTTTCAGTCCAAAGTCTGGAGCTCCTGGCAGTGTCCTGTGCAAGTCCATCTGAGGAAGCCAATGTGTCTGCAATAGAACACTGAAGAGGTCTACGCCAGAAGGCTGAAGAGTGCCAGGTGGAAGCCAAACAGTGTGCCCCAGAAGCCAGGAGACAACATCCAAGCTCAAGGCAGAGAGGGAGCTCCTCTAAAGAATCAGCAAGCAGTTCTTCCTCCTTTCCCTTTTAATGCATGCAGGCTACCTTCCCTGGGGGGTGGGGAGTCCTTTACACCCACACCATCTACCTTTCTCTTTCACAGGCTGAGGATGTTTACAAAGGAGGGACCCTGGTCCCCTGCTGAATCACTTAGTTAAACTTCTAAACTTCTCAAATTGACACACAATGAACAACATCCTAGAGGGGTAAGGGCATGTCCTCTACACCTCAGGATGTAGAGCTGCTGAGTTACTTAGTTTAAGCTTCTAGACTTCTCTCATTGAGACAGTATATCAACCATTACACATCTCCACATACAGAGTCCCCTTTCTGTAGCATCTTCATGAGAATTGTACATTTGCTGTAATTAGTGAATCAGTATTGATACACTGACACATAAACTAAAAGCTATCACATTTCCAGAGTTGTCGCCTGATGTTTTTTCTCTTGCATGATCCCACCCAGTGTGTTTTACATGTAGATGTCTTATCTCTTTGAGTTTTCCTCAGCTGCAATATTTTCCCAGACTTTCCTTCTTTCTGATGACCTGGACAGTTTTGAGGAACACTCAGCAGCTATATTGTGGTGGCCCCACTATTGGAAACTGTCAACTGCTTTCCTTATGATTAGACTTGGGTTATGGGTTATGGGTTATATTGGATTAGACAAGGGAGGAGGAGGACAGCAAGGTAAAAAGCTATTCTCCCTATATGGCATCAAGGAGCATATTCTGAACATCACTCATCGCTATTGATATGGACCACGATCAGTGGACTGAGAAGTGTTTGTCAAGTTCCTGTCCTGGAAATATATTCTTTCTGTAGGTTTCGGATCAAAGTCTCTACAGGCAGGAAGAATTGCGCTACACCCTGAAGGCGGAGTATCGACATCATTAATTTGGAATTCTGCAACAGAGATCTGTCTCGTCTTTTCCATCAGTGATTCATTGCAGTGAAACACAACAGATTTATATTTATTTTGTGCTTTGGGTTACAGTGTAACCTACTCCTACTTAGTTGCTCAGATCATTGAAGCTCTGCCCACTGACTTATAATTTATTTATTTTTATAGTCCATGCATCATTACCACTAAATGGAGAAGACAAGGAAGGTGAGAGCAACAGGAAAATTCCCACCCATGAGTATCCCCTGCCTGTTTTCATTAATCAGTAGCTGGACAGCCAAGCCCGGAACAAAGGTGGAGGGGGGCCGCTCCTTTTCACCACGAGACCAACCACCTCATGAAAGCCCTCGTGGCTCCTCCTTGCTTTCTTTCTTGGGTCCCTTGTTTTAAGGGAATCCAGCAACCAAAACAGAATTTGAGGGTCCCTCAAGCAATCCTGTGGAGATAGTTGAGGAAGGATCACTGTCTTTCCCTACAGCAGAGCGGGGCAGTGCCTGAGTCATCTTCTGGACCTAGTCCTGCCTCCTGGACGACTGCAGCCCTGCTGATGTCTGTGACCTCAAGAGAGTCTCCATGCCAAAGCATATCACCAAGATGTTTCTCATGTACAGAAACTGTGAGACAGTATTTGTGTAATTTACCTCTTTTAACCCAGGGCCTCACGCATGCTAGGTGAACAGTATACCCCTGAGCTACATATATAGTCCTTTTTAATTTTCTTTTGCAATCGGATTTTGCTAAATTTCCCAAACTGGCCTCTGACTTATGATCCTCCCACCTCAGCTTCCTGAACAACAAGGATTACAAGGAAGGAGCCACTGCACCTGAATGTTTGATTTTTTTAACTGCTGAACTGTAGTTTAATTTGTCACATGGCCATGGATGACTAATAGATATTACATTTATGGTCTCTAGCAGTAAGGCCTTTAAAACTCTTAACAAGACAATCTCAATAGAGAAAGAAAAAAGATAGGCAAGTCGATGTAGAGGCTGCAGAATTGATCAAAAAGTAAATAAGTTAAAAGTGTAAGACCCAGGGGTTGAGGATTTAGCTCAGCGGCATAAGCGCCTGCTTTGCAAGCAGGCAGTCGTGAGTTTGATCCCTGGTACCGATAAAAAGGAGAAAGACAAAAAAAAAAAAAAAGTGTAAGACCCATTTCTACTGGGCTCTCGAAGATGTGGTTGCTAGGGGCACTTCACATGACTTCATTTCTCTGAAGCTGGTAAATAGAGTAAAAGTTATAAAAATGCACCTGGGAAAAGAGCCAAGAAATAAATAAAAGAATTTCATAATTAATTTTACAAAGATATTTCTATTAGTTCTATTAGTAATGATCAGAAAATGCCCATGTCAGAAATAGTGGTGGAAACCTATAATCTCAGCACTCTGGGAGGCTGAGGCAGGAGAATTGCAAGTTTAAGATTGGCCCAGGCTTGACACAGAGAGGCCCTGTTTTAAAACAACAAAATAAAAAATGGCTGGGAACGAGGCTCAGTGTGAAGGCCCTACATTCAATCCCAGTGTCCTCCTCCTCAAAAAAAAAAAAAAAAAAAAAAATCAAAAAGTAAGGGAATAGCTAAGCAAACATATTAATATAGTTGTATGTTTTCCAGTCATTAAAAATGTAACCAACCTGGGTTTCATGTCCAGAACCATAAAAATAAGTTTAAAAAAGTAAATGTAAACAAGAATATTTGAGCCAAGTATGATGATGCACACCTGTAATTGCAGCAATCTGGAGGCTGAGGCAGGAGGATTGCTAAGAGTTCGAGGCAAGCCTGGAGTACACAGTGAATTCGAGAGGAGCCTGAACTGCACAGTGAGAAGTACACAGGCTTCCCAGCTGATAGAAAGGATAAAGATGAAATCCAGTGCAGTGGTACTGGCAGGTTTCACCCATTTAGGTTCTACTCAGGCATAGCAAATGTGCTCCTCATGCCTGGTCCATGCCTGACCGGACATCGTCACTGCCCCACAGATACACAGAGCACTGGGATCACTGAACTACACCATCCCTGGCTAAGTATAGTTTCATTTTTGTGATAAACTCAGGATGGATATACAACAAAATATTATCAGTGATTAGCTTGAGGTGGTAAAGTCAGAGAGTTTTTGATTCTTCTTTTCTTTACCTGTTGAAGATTTTTCTTTAGCAGAAACATGTTATTTATATAGTTTTAATTTTTATTTATTTATTTTGTCTTTTTGAGACAGGGTTTTACTACGCAGTTCAGGCTGGCCTGGAACTCACTTTGTAGCACAGGCTGGCCTTGGCCTTGCCATAGTCCTCCTGTCTCAGCCTTCTGAGTGCTGAGATTACAGGCATGTACCACAACACCTGCTTTAAATTCTTTAAAACATATCAAATAGATGTAAAGCAGGCCCTGGGGGCTCATGCCTGCAGCCCTGTACTCAAGAAGCACAGCAGGGTGGCTTACATGAACCAGGAGCTGGAGCAGGCTGAGCAAAACCCCATGTCAGCTAAGGCAAAAGTAAAACTTATAAAACACCACTTTTTATTGACTGGCTTTAGTTCTACACAGCTAGAATACAGTGACCACTGATCAGCACAAAGTACCTAACGATGTTATACTTTTTTCTGAAACATACAAAAGACTTTCTAACTAGTTTAATACTGAGTTTATTTGTTTGCACTATTTGTTATGTTTAAAACTTCATCATATAAAAAAAATGAGGTAACAGTATTGACTAGAATAATTTATTAATTAAAGGCATTTCCCAAACCTACCAGATAACAGGAGTAGTTGCTGTTTTGCCTTCCCCTGCACATTCATTTCTTTCATATAAAATTCCCACTTCTTAGCCCCGTGTGGTGGTGCATACCTATAACCCCAGCACTTGGGAAGCTGACGCAGGAGGATTGCTGTGGGCACAAGGCCAGCCTGGGCTACATAGCAAGACCTTGTTTCAAAAAAAACAAAATAAAATTTCTCATTTCCTTTTAGGAATACCAACAGTGCATAATATAGAACCATTTCCCAGGATAAGCCAGTAGATAAATGCTGTGGATTCAAGCATGAAGTCATGAGTTCTATTTCTGGTACGATTTTTTTTTTAAAAAACTATGAAGATTTTCTTTTCTCAACTCGGAAAATGACTAAAGACATAAGAGTATTGAACTTGAGGAACTACGGCAAAATTTTGGTTTGTGAGCCTAATTTATCCCAGAAACATGCTCGTAATACAAACACTTATATATCAAAGTGAATTTCCCTATCAGAAATAATGAAACTCAGATGATTCATTCCAAAACCCAAAAATATTCATATGAAAATGCTTACAATACTGTCATATCATACAGAATAATAAAGAAAATATTTTTTAAAATGAACAAATTAAACTGCACTTACCTTTGTGGCTAGTGTGAGGAAGACCAGAAGAGGAGGGTTACTGGTGACACTTCACTGTCACTGCCGAATCACTGCCGTCTAATGGCTCAATGGAATCTTCTTTTCGTGTAGTTTTCACTCAGTGGCTTCCTTCTGAGGATTTCACAGAAATGTGATGTTGCATTGTGAAACAGACTCATCACACACACTGCTACAGCCTCATTTGGGTAGTGCTTTTTTTTACAAAATTGTGCAGTTTCTCATGTTTTAAAGATCCCCCTAAACTCACCTGAAGTGAGAGACTCCTCTGCCTTTTTCTCCTCCTCCTCCTCTGCAGATACATCTCCCTTACCAGTCTTCCTGCTGGGAGATGATCACCCATGCTCCCCCAGTGAGGGAGCTAGGGCGGGACAGGGAGAGGGAGGAGAGGAAGGAGGGAGCACTACTCTTATTGCAAGACATCACTTGTTTACCAAGTTAAAATTTATTACCAACCTTTGCTCATCTTGCAGAACGCTTGCAGAACAGGTGACTCACAATCCAAGGATCCACTCTACCTCACAGTGGATCTGAGGGGGAAAGTGCCATGCTAGCAGAGAGGGTAGGAGCCAGGGCAGAGGAGGTGCGGTCCTGCGTTTAGATCACTGAGGGCGCCTGGTGAGGCCCTGCACCTGTGGCCTCTGCTTTTCCACATGGCCTCAAAGGCACTGAACAGTGGGGAGCACCTGAGCATGGAGGCCACAAGGTGGTGTAAGGTAATGCTCAGTGAGGGGATGGGGTTATAGCCCATGGCCCCTTGTTCGCCTTCTGCCTGCGGACACCTGTCTTGTCCTGTGTCTAGAGAAGGAATCCATTTCCCTTCTCAGAGACTCTCAGGCTGTGCCCTGGGATTAGCGATTTGTGGAGCTGGCTGCCTCACATAGCTCTCTGCCCCTTCTAAGACTTGGAGAGAGATCTTAAATATATATAATAAATTCTTCAGTGTAAGAATAGAGATAGAGCCCATTTCATCTGCCATCATCCATGCGACAGTATTTGTATGAGGGAGTACAGGAATGCCAAGTATCAATAACACGATCACTGAAACTTCACATAATTCAAAAACACTAGCAAGTAGCCAGGAGTCTTGAGTGTCAACCCCTGAGAGTTCCTGACTGAACTCTGTAATCAGCCTGTAAGAACCAAGACCTGAAGAGAAATGTTTGAGAAAGATCATCCACCCTGGATACACTGCTGCTAAACAAATCAGTACACCCTAAATTTCAACAGTGGCTCTAGGGCCCAGTTTTCACAAGACATTATGACAGCTATCAGCAATCTCGCTTAAGTAATCCAGGGCACTAGTTTATGATCTTCCCACAAAGCATGGAAAGGTGGTAGTTTAATTATATGTTACGATGAAACGTTACTTAGTTCAGGTGTCTCTTAGGAACAGAGAGTTAAAACCAAGAGGCCTCAGGACAAAGTAAAATCAGTGTTCTGTTCTTTGTCTCTGTAATTTGCTGCCACTCATTTGTCATTTGTCACAGTGCCCATTTTAGCACTGTCCATCCAAGATCTAAGGTTGACTTGATGTTATTGGCATGTTTGCTCCTCCCTCCTCTCCTTTCCTCACAAAATCAAGACTCACAGAGATTTCATGTTTGGCATGTAGCATCCAACCAGACGGAAAACTAATACCTGGTCAACAAGCAACCACTGTAAAGGCATAGTTTTTCCTAGCAAAGTTATTACTACAGCAGAATTTGCTCACTTTAAGAAATCCATTTCAATCAGAAACTAAATAGTATGACTTAGACACCATTAGACAATTTAACAAGACTTTGAAAGTCCCTGGTCCTCAAAACAGTAAGGAAAGTGACTGTTTTGGATCCCATTCCAAGGTTATAGGATGACATCCTTACAGAGCTCTACCTTGGCTGGGCCAGTCTCTCAGGCAATGAGACTCATCTAGGATTGTGGAATTGACACTTTTTTACTGCATTTATGCCCTATAGCACTTCCCTGATTGACACCAAAGTATGGTGAACTCACTGGAAAGGTAACTGTGGCTGGGAGTGTAGCTCAGCATAAAGCACTTGCCTCACGTGTATTTGGGAATGTAAATACAACTGCAAAAGTTTTTAAAGTCCTGTAAGATCAACAATTACAGAGTTACAAAGAGTGATAGTATGGAAGTACCTCTTCACAGCTGCTAGATTTGGGAGTGTTCACTGTTTTCAAAAAAGAAAAGAAGGAATAGATAGAAGAATTAGGCATGTCTAAAAAGAACATGGCTTTGTCCCCAAAGATATTTGAAAAATATCTTCCTGATAGTGGGAGTAGTAATATCTGCTACAACAACAAAATGCAACACGGAGCATAATTTTATGTATATAAAATACCAGAAGAGGGAAACCTATAGAGACAGAAAGCAGATTAGTGGTTTTCAGGGCCAGAGAGAGGACTGAACAGAGGCCAAGTCTTTAATGGATTTCTTTTTAGGGTGATAAAAACATCCCAGAAGTAGGTAGTAGTGATGGTTATACAACATCACGAATTTGCTGTTATCACTGAGATGTATAGTTTGAAATGGTTTAAATGGTGTTTCATGTTATAGGTATCTTATCATGAGTTTTTTAAAAACGCAATCAAAAAAGTCTTCTTTTGCTGAACATTAAATACATAAATAAAATGAGGCAATATATGTAAAGGCTCCAAGCACATGAGAGTTACCCAATGCATCATAGCTATTATTATCCTAAATAGAATAACTGCAAGACTCTAAAGTAAGAATATGCTAATTGAGAAAAGCAAGCAGTAATATAGTTAATTTATTTTCAATACTGAGAAAGGAGAAAGAGATTGGGTAGAAGTTAGCATTTTACTGGTATATCTATAATCTGTTAAAGCGTTTAGTGATTCTGTTGTAAAACAATGGGTTTTAAATAATGTTAGCATTTTTTGGATGACTTTTTTTCTTTCACTTTTTGAGACAAGATCTAACTATGCAGTTCAGACCAGTCTTGAACTCACCTGAGAGCCCAGGCTGGCCTGGAACTCATGGCAATCCTCTTGCCTCAGCCTCCTGAGTATTAGGATTGCAGGTATATGCCACCACACCCAGTCAGATGATCTTATTTCAAATGAGATAGATAATGGTATAAGAATTTTCAGGTAAGTCTAAAAAAGGCTGTCATGATATTTTTATGAAGATTATGATAGCTTGGGCCAGGGATGTAGCTCAGAGGCATAAGCACTTGCCTGATAAGCACAAGGTCCTGAGTTAAGATTCCTGGTGCCAAAAACAAAAACAAAAACCCAACAAGATTATCATAGGTAAGTAAGGTTTTAATCTTTTTAAATTTTTTCACAAAAACAAATATTGGTAATGCTAACACTAATTCTTCGTTTGTAAATGTAAACAATATCATTAAAATTATTACTAGATTTAGAAGAGTATTTGCTCTTTATGAGGAGGAATAGTTCAATAGGTCAATAATCTTTATGAGGCGTCACAAAGTTAGCTGAATTCTGATAGCTTATTTGCATGGTTGAATTTAGAGTTTCCAGATTTATGAGTGAAGACAATCCACTCTCAGCCCTTCAGAGCTCTGCCCAGGTTTCAGTTCCAGACACACCAGAGCTACTAAGTTGACTGTTGTGAGTTTATGTGACTTTAATTAGACATAAGTCCTTTAATGACAAACCCTAGCTAATGTCAGAGATGTCTGAATAATCTTTCTCATTTGAAATGAGAAATACAAGCAACTTTTTTATGTAGCAGTGTAAGAAAATGAGCTTGCTTGGCTTTATAGTCAATTTTGTTCTTGCAGCACCTTTTAATCAACTAATGAATTTGTCATTTGCATAGGTAGAAATTTAAGTGAATTGTATATTTTAAGTAAATAATAACAACCATTTAATGAGAAATTGCTCTGACTCCAGTCATTTTCCAAGGACTTTGTATTAGTTCATTTGCACCTTTCCAATAACTCATCTGTTACATTGCTGTGAATATTATTCCTAGCTCCCAAATAAGAAAACTGAGAAGTTGCAGGTCTGGTCCAAGTCAGGACAGGAAACTATAGTATCTAGCTTTCACTGGAAATTCTAATTTGTTTTGATGTTGGCAAACCCAAGCATACCCAGCAGCACGCTCTGCTAAATAAAGATGGAATTTACAATCTTAGGGGCAGGGGCACCCTAATCCTATTCAGTCGCCACAGAAATGTAGTGATTTAACTGTGGCACCAGGGAATTTTAGAGGTAAGAGGAAGTGGAACAACCCTTTTAGATCTTACCTACCCCTTCCTAATTCTGATCAATTAAATCAGCCCCTCCAGCCAAAACATTTCTTTCCTTCCTGTAAATATTCAGTCTTATCATTTTATCTAGCTCACTGAGTCAAATTCCTTATATTTCTACTCTGAGTTACTCTAAGGTATTACAGTAACTGGTCTGTTTCTAGTTTACCCCCCTTACAAAGGAATGACTGTTTTCATCACTGCCTGCATTAAACTTGCAGTGGCTCTCCATTGCCTGGATCAGTATTTCTCAGATTTGTACAGGAATGTGTTATGGTGATGGCTGCATAACTTAGCCATATATTAAAAACCATTCAATGACACATTTTAATTAGGCGAATTGTATGGCATGTGAATTCTAGCCCAAAATTTATTTTAAAATTATAGGGGAACCAAAGCATCTGGAACCCTGCACTCCATGTGTAGCACACTGAGATGGTAAACATCTGCAATTTTCCTAGCAGAAAATGAGACTACCATATATGTATTTAATATTCACAGTTCATTTGTAACATTGAAATCCACTACTTTATGATTACGCCTGTGTAAGCAGTTTACCTAAGATCAACAATTTCTAATGTTTATCTTTAATATTGAATCACGTTGTTGGGGTAGGTGTGTGGTTGTGTGGGACAGCACTAGCCTAGCATGCACAAGGCCCTGGGTTTGATACCGGCATCACCAGGAAAACTAAACCAAACCAAACCAAACAAAACAAAAAATAGAAAGCTACAATAAAAAAATCTGAAATTTACTGGTCAAATGTGGTGGTGTATACCTCTAATATCAGTACTCGAGAGACTGATCTAAGGCAGCTCAAGGCCACATAGTGAGTTCATAGTGAGTTCAATGCCAGGCTGTACTATATAGCGAGACATTGTCTCAAAAACAAAAACAAACAAAAGAATTAAAATTTATCATTTGTTAAATTGCTTTGTTGCCTACCACTGTTTGGTAGCAAACAGGTATTATGAATACTAAAGACTTAAACTACATTTTAAAAGTGAGAAAAAACTTTTTCTGTATTCAAATTAAGACCATACATTTGCCAGAAAATGGATGTACCTTGAGACAATGATGTTAAATGAAATAAATTAGCCACACAAGATTAACTATTGCATGGTTTCTCTTACAGGAGAAGCACCAGATATAATTTAAAGAGCAAAATCAAAGATAACAGGAAACAGGGAGATAAATCTTTGGCAACTGGGAATGGAGGGAGTTGACCAGTAAAAAGAATTAGAATGTATTGTATACGTGCACCCACTCCCCAGAATGAGTGTAATCATTACAGACTGCAAACAAGTGCTAATAAAACAATAATTTTAAAAAAGACCCCTCCTAAACATCTGAATTTATGGTAACACTGTTTTAAGAGAAGAGCTTTCACAATCCTTGTCTTCTTAGAAAGTGCCTAAATATATGTATTTGTTTTTAGTACCAGGAATCAAACTCAGGACCTTTTATTTGCTAGGCAGGCACTTATGACACTGAGCTATTTATCATCTCATTAAAAATCTTTTGTTCAAACTGGTGTTAGATGACCTTTCCACTTGCATCTTTGCCTCCCACAGCATCTTTGTCTTCTGGCCCCTCAAGGCCCACTTGACTACCCTTTAATCTCCTGACTTCACTGTCCAGGAACACAGCAGAGACGGAAATGTAAATATTTCATTGAACTTTGTATTTCTAGCACTTACAGCAGAGGTATCTTAGAAAATGCCCCAAACATTGCCCTTTCCCTGCATCCTCCAGCCTGAATGTAGGGGTCTACCCATGGCACAGTGCTAGGAGTGTTCAGTGACGATACTCTCAAGCCTCTTTCCCTGGCATCCAATGAACTGTTGAAGCTAGAAATTAATCCTCACTATATTGGATGATGGATGCTCCATGGACACCCATTATATTCAGCCAGGCAGAGTGGCAGTGACTGTAGTTTCAGCTCTGTGGGAGACTGAGGCAGGAGAATCCAGGAGTTCTGGAGCAGCCTGGACAACATACTGAGAAAGAAAAAAAAAAGTGTGAGTGTGGTGGGCGGGGGGGGGGGGGCGGAATACTGAGATGAATTGAAACCATTTTTTTTAATCTATAGGTGTTCAAAGTCCTAAGAAAAATCCAAACATACAATTTGCTTGGACAGGATGTATCAGTAATCATGAAGTGTGCCACTGAACTCTGGGGAAGGAGCCATACACCTTGCTTGGAAGTGTTCTTTGTGGAATTTTCCATCAGGCTGCATTTGAACTGTCTTTGCCAGAAAAAGAACAAAAATGGGGTTTCTAAATCAAAGGAATCCAGCACCAAGACAAACTCAGAGGATCAGGCCACAAGCACCCAGTGCATCTGGTGCAGCTACTGGGGCAATGGCAAGGAGTTACTGGCAGGAGCCGGCAGAGTGCTGGGGCGGGACTGCCTAACACTGCAGCAGGAGGAGTCTGGTCCACTCTATAACAATCCCTGACCCCTCTCCAGCACAGCATGCTGACCAGGTAAGACAGGACTAGATCAGGCATGCTGTGTGGACAAAGGCTGGAGGGATGTGACAGATCCTACTGAGAAACAATTTGAGACCCAGGACTGTGTTCTAACCAGTAAGCAATCAACCAGCCGCACTGGAGCTGTGTAAACCACACACTGAAGCAGAGGTCAAGAATGTGGTAGAACTACCACAGCTGGTTTCTTGGGATGGCCAGTATCACTCAGGTAAAGGTTCCTGGCCTCCACGAGGCCCTCTCTGATTTTCCCAGCCTAACGACTTCTCAGTCCCTCTGTCTCCTGATCCCCTCTCCCTTCCTACCCTCGCTTTCTCTTGAAATCCAGAGCATTTAATTTTGTACTTGTGGCACCTAGAGATTTTGTCTTGTGTTGCAGTTGTCTGCCTTCAGTCCTGGTGCCACCTTTTCCCCTCTTGCTCAGCTTCGCAAGCTTTATGTAACACAGTGCATCTTTGACAGATCCCTTGGGAGCCAGATAAGGTATAAAGTAAACCAAGAATAAATATAAGATTTTGAGTTTCAAGAGGAGGAAAGTCACCCACTTTTACAAATCTCACAGCACTTTGAAAAACATTGTTAGATAATTCAATTTATCGATTTGGTTCTGAGAGGTTGGTATTTACTACTGTGTTTACGTAGCTGTTTATCTTGCATTCTTTTACTCTAAACCAAGCCCCACCAGTCATTCTCTCTTTCCCTCTCTTTCTCTTTTTTCATTTGCCAAATTTTCACCCTTCATGTAGGTCTTTGGGGGGAAAAGCCTGCAGATTTAATTATTGTCCCTTTTTAAATTTCAAAGAAGATAGGGTCTGGGATTGGGCTTCATTGGTAGAGCACTTGTCTGGCTTGCCTGAGGCCCTGGTTCAATCCCCAGTACTAAAAAGTTTTTTAAAAAATTTATTTCAGCAAAAGTATAAAGTACAAATACAAAGAAACACAAACATTTGATACTCATTTAAGACACAATTTTGATAAAATACATTAACAGCATTAACAGTAATCAGCAAAAAGATATTATAATAAATTATAAAGTTCTGCTTGTCTCTTAGTGGGGAAATATAACGAGAAGAAACACAAGAATACTTAAAAGGATGCAGCAGCAGTGCCCCAACATATGAAAACATTAGCATCAAAACTTAACAATTTCCCCCTGAACGTTGAATTTTTTGGCCTTTTTGGATCCACGTTTAGCAATCTCACCACTCTGCTGCAGTTTAGAGGGAACTAGCTGACCCCTCACTGTGTGGCCCACAAAGATCAGTCCCCTCACTAAGCGATTAAAAGGAACACTTCCTGTTAGGTATACAGTACTTCAAGGCTAATATTTAATCTTAATTGGCAACAAGTTTAGTGCAAATAAAATTATAGATAGCAGCTTAGGAAAGTTGTGATGGGGAACCATTCTCACCCTACCACATATTCTTATTGCTTCCCCAGAGAGAAACTGTTTCTCTTTTGCGAGGACCAACACTTGGCCTTTGAAACCTACTAAAAATTATTAAAGGCAATTCCAATTGTTATACAGGAAGTTTCCCCGCAAGATGATTTCTGTCACTATGTAAATGAGCTGCATGGTTTTTATATTTGTAAAGTTCCCTTTGGGTAGATACAAAAAAAGCAGGGCCTGAAGGCCAGGGTGGAGAGTGAAGGTCACAGCGGGTCTCACCACCTGCTTCTCCCGTCAGACACCCAGAAGAGGTGCAAATCAGCCACCTCAGGTGGGATGAGAAGGACAGGGCTGCACAGTCTCCTCAGTCAAATTCTACTCTCAAGTAATGATCTTCATTCATTTCAGTGCCAAAAAGCACATAAAGAAAAAGAGAAAGCCATCTGATTTTAAACCTGGTGCTTTCCATTCTCAGCCAAGATTTCTTCTCCAAATGAGGAAAAGCCAGAGACAATTTTGCCTGAACTTTATCAATTCCTCGAGTTGTCTCTTGTTGTTAGACATCTGTCCCTTCTCTTGCCAAGGCCTGGGATTGTGGCTGTAGAAACCAGTGTGACTTACTGTGCCCAGATCCACCCTGGCAGAAGAGTAGGAAGGACAGCTCCTAGGTTTTAGGGCTTGGCTCTGTCTCCTGGTCCAGGTTTCAAGGACAGGTTCAAAAGCCGACATGATGCCTCATCTACTGGTGACCTCCTTCCTTAGTAGCTCCTCCATCTTCTTCTATTCTCCCCCCAAATTCTCTCATTGAGAAGCCCAAAGATCAGCCATGGGGAGAGGGACCACTAGTCACTGTACTCTTCTCTCTCCCTTGAGGTGGGGAATTTCTCATGATGGTTGGACAATTTCCATTTGTTGTGCTGACTTTTGAGTAGTGCAGCCAAGGAAGTCTTTCGGGTAATGTGTCTAGATATTTCCCGACTCTTGGATTTCCTGGTAGGAGATTTTTGGACTAAAGGATGTACAGGGAAAATGGGCTGAGGAGCTCCTAGTAGCTGCCGTATTTCCCTGGAGGTATTACTGGCCAGATACTGCCAGGGTTTCTTCCCACTGCTATCCCGGACATTCACCTGAGAAGCCAACCTTTGCACCAGCAATTTGATAACTCCCTGATGGCCATGAATGGCGGCAAGGTGCAGCGGGGTATACCCACAACTGGATTTCACATTCACATCAAGCACAATCCCAGTCTTCCGTGCCCCCGAGACCAAGTCCTGGAGTGCACAGAGGCTTCCATGCTTGGCTATCCAGTGCAGAGCAGTGTAGCCAGTCAGAAAGTCCCTGCGCAGAGCCAGTTGGGGGTCCTTCCAGAACAAAGCCAATACCTGAATCCAGGAGCCACTAGCAAGCTTCACAATCCATTCATGTTCCCTGGATTCTAAGGGGACCAGGGATGACTTGTGCTCAAAAGGTCTGTGTGGTACCAAGGCTTCGGGGCCCTCCCCATCGAGGACCCACCAGTTGCGTGGCCTACTAGGCTCAGCCACAATCGCTTTAGTGCCTGCCAGTTTTGTTGTCAAAGCAACAACCACCCTTGGGCTAGGCACTGGTCCTGCCTTGGAAGGTCTCCTGGGTCGAGGGGGGCGACGAGTCCTTTTCAGCATGTCCTCATCAAGACTCTCCTCATCAGAGGAGGACACAGTGGCCCTCCCTGGCTGAGGACTCCTCCTGAATGACCTCCGAGTTTTGGGCAAAGGCTCCTCTGCCCCTCTTGGGGCCTGCATGGAGGAGTGGTTGCCCCCTCCAAGCTTCTGAGATCTTAGGGTAACATTGCTTTCCTTTGTGAGTACAGAGAGGCCCTGGGCTGGATTCCTGTGCTCCTCCAGGTCTGGGGCCCTGGGGGCAGCCTGCAGCCTCTCTTCCGAGCCCCAGGGGGACTCTCTGGGCTCACTGCTGCTCTCCTCGCTGCCATGGCTCTCCTGGTCCACAAACTCTTCCAGATCCTGTAGGGACAGCTGACAGCGAATGCTCCGAAAGACAGTAGGTGGAGGTTTCCCCAGCCAGGATTCCGAGGACTCGGTGGGGTCCCCGGGAATGAGACCCCGAGAGCACAGAGTGGGCTCTGCCTGTACAGTCTTCCAGATGCTGACTGCGGGTTCTGAGCTCAGCTGAAGGAAGTCATCCGGCAGCACGGACCAGGCCCGCACTGGGCGCTGATTTGCAGGTTCAGGCATCTGCTGGTGCCTAGACACCCACTCTCGTGTGCGCTGCAGCTGCAGGTGTGCTGTCTCGGGGTGCAGGGGACTCAGGGTCTCAGGCTCTAGCCTGTCCTGGGCCAGGGGTGTAGGGCTGACCCACTGCAAATGTGGAGTCTCGGAGCTCAAGGTCCTTGGGGTCACCGGCTCTGGCCTGTCTTGGGCAGAAGGCATGGGGTGGTGGCGCTGCAAGTGTGGGTTTGCGGGGTGTAGGGTCTCAGGGTGAGAGGTTCCTGGCTCTGACCTATCCTGGACAGGGGGCGCAGGGTGCTGGTGCAGCAGATGTGGAGTCTTGGGGCTCAGGCTCCCCGAGGTCACCAGCTCCTGCCTGTCCCGGTCAGGGGGTGCGAGGTGCTGACGCTGCAGATGCCTAATTTCAGGGCTTGGGGCACCTGGGGTCAATGGCTCTGGCCTGTCTCGGTCAAATGGCGCAGGGTGCTGACGCTGCAGATGCTGAGTTTCGGGGTTCGGGGTCCCAGAGGTCACTGGCTCTTGCCTGTTTTGAGCAGACGGTGCGGGGCGCTGGCGCTGCAGACGCTGAGTTTCAGGGTTCGGGGTCTCCTGGGTTATCGGCTCAGATCTGTCCTGGACAGGGGATGCAGGGTACTGGCGCTGCAGATTCGGGGTCTCGGGGCCCGGGGTCCCCGGCTGGTCCAGGGCAGTCGCGGGATCCCGCCGTGTTCCGCGCCGCTGCGGTCCGGGGGGCGCCCCCGGTCCCGTCCCCTCCCCCACGAGGTCCCGGTACCTGCGCCGCAGCACCACGCGCTTGGTGCCGTCCGAGTCGTGGTGCACCGCAGCCACCGAGTTGACGAAGCCCTTGAAAAGCTCGCGGCGGCGCTCGCGCAGGTCTGGGGGAGCGGCGGGGTCGCGCAGGAAGCTCTTGAAGTGGCCGAGCAGCGCGGCGTTGGTCACCTGGCCCCCGGCCTGGCACAGGAAGTCCAGCACCGCCTCCTGGCTCAGCTCCCGGGCCATCGCTGCCGGCACCCCCACCCCGGCCGGGCCGGGGTCACCTGCGCTCCAGGCGGCGCCCCGAGCGCGCCAGGGGGCCCGGCAGTTCCCGGGGGCCCCCCGGGCTGGAGCAGGCGGCTCCCACACAGCCCCCGGCGACGCGAGTCCCCGCCGCGCAAGTTCCCGGGAGAGGCCCGAGTCGGTTTCACCTGCGCCTGGGCGACACCTCCTCCCGGCCCGCCCCGCCGTCCCTCCGCCCTCCAGGTCTCGCCCTTCGCCGCGGAGCCGCTGGGAGGTGAGTGGCGGCACGCGGGGACAAAGGCCACCGAGGGGGTCCCTGCGCTCAGCGCCGCACAGGTGAAGGCTGGGTCGGTGGCAGACCAGCGCCCTGCAGTCTCTCCAAAGGGGCCTTTACTACCGCCTTTGGGAAGGGATTTCATATTCCTGGTGGCAGCATTGGGATCCACTTTGCGTCCCAACCAAACCTTTCCTGACAGCGAGATACCAAAGAAGCTGCTCCGCCGGTCTAAACGCACCCACCTAAGTCTGCGCTGAGAAGAGAAATCCCTCTGACCTCACAGACTGAGGCTGGCTTCTGCCTTTTTACCTTGTCTGTCGTTATCTGGAGTTAAGGTGCAAGGAAATTACTGCTGGATTTTCATTGCCTTGGAGCCAGAATCAGGAGGAGTTATGTCTCCAGTAAAGGTATCTGATACCTGGTGTTACCTTGGCTTTGTTTAATTGAAACTTCCTGAACAGAAGAGATTTGTAGAGTCTGTTTTGTGTTTTCTTGCTCAAGGTAAGGCTTTGTAAGATTCCCACACACACATTTAAAATGTTGAACCAGGGCAGGCCAGCTGGGTCTGGCCCTCCTGGTCCTATGTGGTTAGAATGGTTGCTTCTCTTACTCTCCATGGAAGAACTATGGACCTTGCCCTCCTTCAGAGACTAGCTGTAGAGTGGGGCTTTTCATTAGCCTCCAGAAAGACATTAGAATTAAAGCACACACACACACACACACACACACAGAGGGAGGGAGAGTGGGAGGGAGGGAGGAGGAGCAGGAGAGAGAGAGAGACAGACAGACAGACAGAGACAGAGAGAGGTACTGCAAGCTCCTTCTGTTTTCTCCATGCATCCTGATCTGCCTCACTGTTCTTTATCAGCCCTGTTCACAAGCCAAGGCTACCCCTCAGGGTTTGATCTCCGCCCTCACCCACCTCAGCCTGAAACTCTTTCTGTAGTAGGCCCTTCCCATCTCTTTCTGTTGCAAGATAGGTGTTTATCGCAGCCCCAGTTTCCATAGCACACATATTCTCAGAATCTTTCCACATCAGCTGCATTTCCTATTCTCATTCTTTATTTCCCCGAGCCTTTGATTCTTTCTCATCTTTCCTTCTTTTGCTCCACAATTTCTGGTTTTTTCATGGGCCCCTGTTCTTTTTACCAAGACTGTTGAAAGCATATTGCTCCTGCGATTGTGTATTTTAGTGTGGACCTGTCCTAGGGACAGCTGTGTGTGCCACATTAGCTGAGTTTTACTTAAATCCCCAACTGTTTCCTGGATTCATTGGCTTTAAATTATCTAGATCAGAAAGAAAAGCTGGGGAACTCTTTGTTTTGTTTTTACTATTTTGAGCATTTTCTAGAGTTTAAAACTAATGCTTGGTTGAAGGGTAAATGTTTCCATTTATGTCTCTTCAACTCTTCAGCCCTTAGGGTAGTTATTAAAACAAAAGTTTTGTATTAAGCATCAACTTTCTTCTGTATTTTTTTTCCTGGGGTTGAATCTTGGTGGGAGTACAGAAGTGAGACCACACTTAGATCAGTCCAAGTGGAATGCTCAGGTGGGCATTTTAGACTGGCAAGCGCAAAGAGCCCCCGTCTAATCCTTTTCAAAACATTTGGTTTCAAAATAAGGAGCTTGTTTCAAAGGGGTTGTTGTGATGTAGAAGTCTTTGTACTTGAAGCACTAAAAAGACTTGCGAGGAAGTTGTCTTTAAAATGTGGTTGTTGAGCTGGGTATGGTGGTACACACCTGAAAGACAGCATTTAGGAGGCTGAGACTGGAAATTCCTGTGAGTTCGAGGCCCGCCTGAGCTACATAGTGAGTTCAAGACCAGCCTTAACTGTATAGAATTTGTTTTAAAAAAAAACAAAGCAAGCAAGGAAGCAAGTTTGGTTGTTGAAATTAGCTTGTCTTTGGGAGTGGAGTTAATAGGCCTTCAGGAGTGAAAAACAAGAACAAAAGTGAAGAAATCAAATTGCTTTAAATTTCTGAGTTCCAGGCGGTTCATCATGCAGACCTGCCTGCCATTCTCTGTCTTGTTAGAATTGTGTCAGGGGACATTTTGCTGCTTCCCTCATTCCTGCTTCCCTCACTATTTCCAAAAGACTGTGGAGCCACTGTACAGTTTATAAGCAAGGTATGCTTGAGAAGCCCATGTTCATGGAGCTGTGATTTTGCAGAGATAAATGCCATAGCTGGAAGGTGGAGAGAAGTGGAACCTGAGCCTGGGGGTTAGGACAATTTTTCGAATAAGAAGCAACTTAGAGTAGAAAGGGTGAGAAGGGCAGAAGACACCTTAGTGCAAAGGCAAAGGGACCTGGTTCAGCACAGCTATTTTGGGGAATCATTGTGAATAGAGCCGCTTGGCTTACTTGGCTTTGAGGAAGACTTGGATGTACAAGAAACTGCAAGGGTGGGAGTCTGCAGATGCAGGGCTGGGCAGGGGCAGAGCCTATGCAGAGTTTTCTTGAGGGTTGCAACCTGACCCTATCTGGGCTTGGGGGAAGGTCGACATTGCTGGCTTGGAATTAGGACTGGTGTTAATGAGAAAAGAACACTTGGCAGAACAGTCCTGTACTGAACCAAATCCAAAGCAGTGCTGATTACATGATATGTTAGGATTTCAGAGATATTAAAATGTAAACGAATAACAGCCTTTTCAAAGAAGTGCAGAGCCATGTGCAGTGGCACAGGCCGGTTATCCCACCCCTGCAGGAGGCTGAGGCAGGAAGGTCACAAATTTGAATGTTACCCAGGGGAAAAAATTCCCTAGTTTTAGAAAAAAAAAAATGTGGGAGGAAAATTTGAGGATCACTTGAAGAGTGATTTTTAACTTTCAAATAGCTTGATAAACTATTTTACAATATTACTTTTTCACTTCAAAAAGACGTTCAAGAAAAAGTGACTTTATATGAATAAGAACAAAGAGAGAAACAACATCAAATCTTTAGGCAGGAGAGAAGTCAAGCTGTCAGCAGGACACACAAAAATGATCCAAGAAAGAGAAGGAAAAGGGAAGATCCAGGAAAGTCCCATGGTGGCTGAGAAAGGGAGGTGAGCAGGTGGGCCTGGGAGACAGGAGTCTGTGGCTAAGCCAGGGAGCCAGGTAACCTGGGGGGTGCAGAATTAGTTTGGGTCACTGCCATGCATCTAGCAGAGTAGCTGGATGGGCAGTGGTTACCATGTATCAGGACAGGACATGAAGGAGTTGTTTTGGAAATGGATGGAATGATAAATTCCATTTTGGACATACTAAATTTGAGGTACCCACTGCAACTAAAGTATCTGGAAGGCAGTTGGTGATGTAAGTTTGGGGAACCAAGGATGTGTGACATTAGTATTGACAAATGGACCTTTAAGCCACAGGTGAGGATGAATTTGCTAAGAAAGACACACAGGCAGCCAGGCACGGCAGTGCTTGACCGTCACCCAGCTATGGGATACTGAGGCAGGAGGATCACAAGTTGAAGAGCAGCTTGGGTGATGTAGCAAGGACCTGACTCAAAAAATAGGAAGGGCTGAGTATATAGCTCAGTGCTTCATGGCGCAATTCTTCGGGGCAGCAGCACACTGAAGGGACAGACGCTGGGCCTATCTTTACCAGTGAAAGAGAAAAGGAGACCTGTGGAGGGGACCTGGAAGGGTGGCTAGAGGGGAAAGGGAGACTGCCAGGCACGTCACAGAAGCACAGGAGCAGAAGGAGGAAGAGCTCGCCAGAGACACTGCCAAGGTAGATAAGACATGACATGAAATAAGAGCAGAGCCATTGGGTCAGCGGCGGTGAGGATGGGGAGCTGTCATAAGGGAGCTGGGGAAAGGGGCCGGGCCCAGAGGGTGATGGTGGGGTCAGGCAGGCCAAGTGTGAGAGAGACTCATTCACAAAGACAGCAGGAAGACGTCCGCAGAGGGGCTAAGCAAAGCAGGTAACCGGAGATTGTTGTTTCAGAACAGATATGACCGTGTCTGTGCGCAGAGAGAAGGGTATATTGAAGAAGTAGGGAGACAGTAAATAATTGACGAAATGGGCTGGGGTGGGGCTGGAGCCCAGAGTCCGGTAGAGGGATTCCCTGGGAGACAGACACTTTCCCCCATTAGCAAAAAGTGTGACACCACCTGTAACCCCAGCTTTTACAGAGAAGCAGAAAACTATTTTCCATGTAGTTATTTAGGGCCTGTGTCTAATAGGATCTCTGTTACCTTTCATGTATGGTTCTGTCTCACCAAACAGAAGCAACACGTAACACCAGGGTCTGAATTCCACTGGCAGTGGCTGTTTGACAGTACTGGGGATCAAATCCAAGACTTTTACACTAAGCTATATCCCCAGGCCTTCTATATTTTTTATTTTGAGATAGGGTCTCATTAAGCTACTAAATTGCGTGGACTGGACTTGAAATCACAATTCTTCTGTTTTATCTTCTCAGAGTAATGGTATTGCAGGGATTCCCCACCACATTTGGCTGGGGTGATTTTTAAACAAGAGAAATTATTTTTCATAGTTCTGGAGACCATGAAGTTCAAGGCTTTGGACCCAGCAGACTCAGTGTCCAGTGAGGACCTGCTGCATAGATGGTGCCTCTAAGTGTGGGGGAAATGCTGTCACTTCAGCCCTTTGAAGGGCACTAATCTCAGATATGAGGGGTACACCCTCCTGACCTAGTCACTTCCAAAGGTCATACCTCCTAAATACTATCACTTTTAGGATAAGTTGTGACATATGAATTTTGGAAGAATATAGACATTTACATCATAGCAAATGTCTCAAAAAACTGATTTCTGTAGCACATTGCCTTCAAATATAGTCATTCATTTTTGCACTAAAATTATCTTTCCTAACCTGTGTACTTGACCCGACTGGCCAGTTTTGGTTTTTAAAATACCTTGTCTTGTCTTCTATA